TTAATGTAGAAAAATGGCGTTTTTATGTTAAAAATATTGATTATAATCTTCAAGCGTTTATATCATAATTAATATTCAGCTATATTGACCCGAATATGCAATTTAAAGATAAAAACATTATTTATTACATTTTACGGAATAACGATATTTATTATAATAATTATATTTGGTTAGTATTATTACTACATGATTTATTGCTATACATGGTTTTATAGGTATTTTAAATTTAATAACAAAAAATAATTACTGAAATATAATTTATAAAACATAATCTCATAATTGAGTGTGTTCTGTAATAATTTCATTGAAGTAGTTTATTAATTTCACACATGGTTATTTATTATTCTTATAATACTATGATATGGACCTTATTTTCTGATAGCCTGGTGGTCTTACACGTGGTTAGTATGTGAAATAGTGGATAGTATAAAGTATAAACTGAAAATGGATTTTTGACAAGATTTTCTTGTACAACATTGAAAGAATAAATTAAGTAGGTACTATATAATTAGGTTCATTGCTCATAAATAATATTATGTTGTATAAATATATTTGTTTTATATCAATAAAAATAACTCTAGAAAGCAATGTTACTGTGGTAAAGTTCGACGCATCACAGATTATGCATTTACATATTTATTAGATTGTATTTTATTATTTTATAAATTAAAAAGTACTTAGTAATTATACTAACCCAAAATCTATATCAATATCTAAATTTGTATAAACTGTGAAATAAAAACATAATTTCTGTATGATAAACATTAACACATCTCATAAAATGACAATTTTATCCAAACCAAATCAGGTACAAATAATGAATAATTTACTCAACTTGAGAACGAACAATTAATTTAAATATAATACAAAAACATTAATGTTGAATGATTTTGATGTATTATATTATCACACATTTGTACATAGGATATAATTATTTATGTCTCAATAAATATTCGTTGAGAAAATGTTGTATTCTCCATAAAATTAAAATTTTCTGGGAAAAAATAATATAATGTTCTTACGTTATTTACCAACACTATAGTTAAAAATGCATGTTCTTATTAAAAAAGTTAAAAATTAAAAATTATATCAATAAAAAAAAATGGTAAATTATTAACAAATTCAAATTATGTATTAAATGTTTTTTTCTAAAACTTTAATATTTTTTGAATTAATAATGAATACCAGAAGTTAAATATATCACCCCACAAATATGTGCAATATATATGCAATTGCATACCTATCTACCTACCTATATTAAAGGCTTTCTGTGGGAACTAACTGACCCACTCGAGAGAAGTACCTATAACAATGGAGCGAGATAAAAATCGTTCACATAATGAATATTTTTATAGTATCTTTTTTTTTTTTTTATGTTATTATAATGGATCTATTGACATCGAAAACAACTTACGATTTAAGATATGATAATATCGACGAGGACGGAGGTATTTAGAGAAAAAACGCGTAACGAGTATTTAATGATAGCTGTATAGGTGCCTTCTGCCTATACTGTATGAGTCACGACATAAGTAACATATTAATCCAATAAAAGCATACTACATTACTACTTATAAGTTGCTATAGTAATTACGTCGCATGTTTTGCTTTTTTGATTCTGATATTGAATCGAACAACGTATTGGTTTTACAATGTAGTTTATCTGCATTTGATTTTATTTTGAAACTTATATAGATGAAAAAATGCTGATTCAAATTTATTTCGTCCCTATTTGTTACTTAAAAGTGGTTATTTTTTCGATTTTCTTACTATAGCTTTCCTGAGAGTACTACAAATTGCCGATACCCGCACTGACTGAGAAATAGGATATAACTACCAAACGTGATTTTAACCAAACTCTGATCAAAATAAAAGCTTAGACTGCAATGATTTATTGGAGCTCTCTAATTTAAGCAATACTTTTATTTTATAAATAGTATAAATAATAATAACCTATAATAGGTTATTAATTGATAAAACAATTATGATATTTATTCATTATTTATTTATCTAGAAATTTGAAATGTTACTCTGGTTTTACATTGTAGCGCTTTTTTTCCATTTAAGAAAACAGATTAATATTACGAAAAATATGATCAGCCGATTTTGAACTAAATTACACGGGACCATGGTTAGTTTTATGTACCTAATTAAAAAAATATTTTACTCAAAAATTATATTTACAGTCACTGAAAATTTATAGTATTTGTAAAATCTATAAATAGCTATTTTTCACAGCTACAAGTGATGTTGGGGATTTATAAGAAATATTAGTAAAAATGTAATGAAATTAATTAAATTGAATTTACAACGCTCCAGACGGAGGGCTTGGGTGAAGCCTATTTTCATTGATGGAACTTGATAACACGTAAAAGGGGGGGTTAGTAAATAGTAAATTAGTAGATCACGAGTAATAACAGCACATTTGTTTTGGGTGCCTTCTGGGGCACCAGAAATAGCGAGAACAGATAGCCTTGAGATCAAGGGGTTGTGGGGTCGAAGAATCATCAAATAGTATAGTGTTATATAAATGTATGCCCTGTACGGTTTCATCAACATGGTTTTCACTAAATATATTAATTTGGTACTGACTATTATTTCATGTTAAATAGTAAGACATATATACTTTCATAGGTATATTTTTTTCTTTGTTTGGGTTTAAGCCCGATAAAAATAAAATATCTACTTGAACGCATATAATAACCATAACAGACATTCAGTTATAAACGATTATTTAAATTAGAAGTCTCTAAAGTCTCAGTGACTAAATATATGGAATAAAATAAAAGATAAGATAGGTGGTAATGAAATAAAAAAATATAACTTTTTACGATGCTCACGCAGTATAATATAGGTATAATTCGTTAAATATCAAACAAAAAGTATTCTGAACACTTATCGTTAGATTGAGCTATATTTAAATATTATAATAAAATAATTTTGTCGAATAAAAGAAAACTGTTATTATTATTTTGTTCCAGTAATTGTCCATAAGAAACCCCGTTAAATAGGTCGCAAAGTTTGCAGCTCTTCATTTGAGACATATTTAAGCCACGCATACATTTTGTGAATATCCGTTTCCATCATAAACTTAATGGCCTATCGTCTGTGAGACAACGCGATTTCCTGCGCTATTAAGTACACTCACAAAAAAAGACAAAAAAACATAAAACTAATAATACAAATAAATTTAAATAATAATGATAATAATAAGAAAAAAACAATAATAATAATAAAAAGAAGCGATCGACATTAAAAATGCAAATAATATCATATACAAAGCCGAGTAGGTATATAATATTATACCGAAGCGAAGCACTCGTTTAAAGTGCGTCACTATAATATTGTTAAAAGTATAATGTATCGTCCCCGCCTGTGCTTGTGGAGAATTTAAATGAGTTACATAGCAAAATAAATGTTCTCTTGAAACCATGCGACGGAAAACCGTCGTTTCTTGGAGGTTATAAGTATAGTGCTGTTACTTGGTAATTATTGTTGTAATCGCCCTACAATATTAACGCCAGCGATATGTATGACAATATCATGCATTTAAATATAATATAATGTTATTATATCGGATCCGCGTTCACTACCGACTACAGCCATGCCGACGCCTGGGTACAATGTACCTACTTAATCGTTAAAATATAACATTAAGGTCTATTATAGGGGTGTATTGACTATTGGCTGACGTTTAAACACAATATCACGATTGCGATCAGTGTCGGTGGCACTGTGGTATTTAATATCAGTGGTGTATCCGTGGAGGAGACTAAGGGATGGCTGCGACCTTCCTTGGAGTTTTAGGAATATTTAAAAATGCTTTCAGTGATTTCTAAACGTCTCACATAAGACGTGAGTATTGTAATTTATATGAAGGTCACAAAAGTCTAAAAGAATAAAATGTTACTTAAATAATTGTAAAAAATCATTAGCATAACCAATGCTGGATCTATGTCTGGGAATGTCGGGACGCTATTATTCTGCAACCATGTTATAAGGTGACGGCCTCTTCAAAAATTTAAATTTCGAAGTCATTTGATGCATTAACTATACTTTTTTTCGTTGTATGCTAATTGATAATAAAGGAGATTGAATTGAAAACAAACAAAATATATTTAAACTATAGGTAAGTATAAGAAACTTCATGGTTTATGTGCACCTTTAAATCAAGTCAGACATAGGGATACAACTAAGTCCTCAATAGTTGAAAATTAACAGATGCGTTTGATTCTTGATACATTTTTTTCCTTCCCGACCAATATTCAATATTTCTAATAATTTATTCCCTGCACTCCTACTACATCTGGTACTGAGCATACAAACTTCTAAGTGGAATCCCATTATACACAAATTATCAGCTCCCTCACCCCCGCCACCATACAAAATCCTGACTACTCCACTTGGTAACGGTCGAAGATTCCTATATTTGTTTAATAATAATAATGACAATAATAATACCTAGGTATTACATTCGATTTGATAGTAATAATTATTCTGGTATTTCGGTGACTTCGGCGCGGAATGCGTTCGATACGAATCATCATTATATAGTATATTGGATTATTACATCCACCCCCCGGCGCCATTACTGTGGAATTTCCTCGGAATTTCCTCGGAATCCTGGGTTAGTTCATTATTATTATTATTATTATTATTATTGATACGACGTGTATTATATTATAGGGGACGATTTCACCACTCCGTAACCACTCTACCACGCGATACCATCGTTGTAGTACGATAAACAGTATATGGTCGCACCGAACACGATATTCGTCTAGACATCGATGTTCTTATCTGCGCTGTACAACACTGAGAGTACAAAATTATGTCTGAGACGAAAAATAAAATCAAAATAATAACTGACACACACACAAAAATGATAAGCTATATTATCGGGTCTCTGAGACGCCATCGTCATTTGGTCAGTCCACCGCCTCCGCCGCCGCCGAAAAGATAACGCAACCCCCACAGAAAACCGAAACCCTGAGCGTATTTATAAAAGCCAAACACTACTGTTCAGCACACCTAGTGACTTACAAGACATCCACCATGAACCACTACTTTTGGGCATCGTCGTTGTTGCTGTTCGCTGTCGTGCAGTACGCTGCCGCGTTCAAGATACCAGGTAATGACCATTTTGTTATCTACCTATAGTTGAAATATTCGTTTTTTTTTTTTAAAGACACTAATAGTAAAATAATCAATTGATTATTTAAATGACTTAATCTCATAATATTATTCAGTAAAACTAAAATTACTAATAAAACAAAATATCCAATTAGTACACTATTTTATAATACAAAACCTATATCACAAATTATTAATGTTACTTATAGTGGCTACGGCAAACATTTATTTAATATAATATAATATTTATATATATTTACTCATCAACAAGTTCAATGATTATTTATATTTTATCCTTTTACAATTAATTTAATCAAATTCAAATTTTTGTAATTGTTTAATATTTAACTCAAAAATCATATTAATATCATATTATCAAATTCTGATATTTTTACTATTTTGAAAGTATACTGTGTTGGTAAAAATTGATATTTTTCAAAAAAGTACCAACCTTTCCTTATTTAAATTGTTAGAAAAATGTTTTTTCAAACACTTTGATGTTTCTAAATCAAAATTCCAACGAGTAGGACTTACAACTAAAACATAAAACATTAAAGATAATATTAGTCCTCAATAATGGTTTTATATAAAAAAAATATATTTAGTCCAAAAGTTATTATACTTGAACAATTTTTACTAACTTTACAATTTTAATAAATAAATAGGTATTAAGATTACAAGATTACTATGTAGGCATTATAATTATGGTATTTTAATCATCATACACTCTATATTGTATTCATGACCTATTAATTATCATCATTCAGAAACTATAAAGTATGTACAATGTAACAACATAGAAACTACTCGTTTAAATTTCGACTTATATACGTAAACAAAATATTGTTTTCAAAATATCACGTCCTTAAAAATAAATAATAAAAAAGTTAAATACAATTTTAAAAAAAACTTTGCACCGAGCTCCTTAAATGTGATAAAAAAAATTAAGTATATTAAAATATTTCCTATGTAGTTAAAAGTTCTGAAAATCCTGTTTAGGATATTTATTATTAAAACAAAAAAATTGGGTGAACATGCTTGGTAAGTTCTCGTGTATTTCAATATATTATATAATATGATGATTAACATATTTTTGTTTTATTTTGATATTAAAAATATTTTTGATATTTTTTTTATAAAGAAAAGACATTATGCACAATTATTACTTGACAATATAATAATTTGTTATTCAATTTAATACTACAATAAACGATTTTTATTATGTTGTTTAAGAAAAAACTAATTGTGTTCACAGTTGAATATTAATAATACACAAGGCGTCTGTTGATTTATAAGTATAATAACATTTGTCAACAGTTATTTTCATTGAAACTCAATTAAATTAAAAAGAATAAACCCAAATGGAGTATAATAATAAATTATTATTTCACACAAACTGGAATTTAGGTTCAAACCCTCTCAACTCTCTGAATAAAGTAATTGTGATGTAACTACAAATGAATTTTCCGAAAGCAAGTCGTTAAAAAGTTAATTAAACTGTCGTTAAAAAAAAATTAATTTCGGTATTAAAATTATATAAAACTTTCACCCTTGTGATTATTTCGTGCACACTAAAAATGTAATTTCAAATCAGTTATCATTTTGATATTTATTAATTGACACATAGTTTTATTTAATAAAAAAAAGTGTCATTTGTGCAAATGATATTTTATTGCTTCCTCTTGATAAAAATATATTATTTAGTAAATCTATTTTTTGATAATTTAAAATTAATAAAATCAATAGTCGTTTTTTTTATTTACAAATGATTTTTTTGTTTGTTTATTTTTTTTATGATACATATTTGTATCAATCAAAATTATAATTTTATACTGAGCACTTTATTGTTATAGCAAATTACCTTTAATTCATTAGGTTGAAAACACTTATCATTTTACGATATTATTGAATTTAATAATTTAAAATCATTAACCTTATTTCAACTTAGTTGATGTGATCATTTAAGTTATTCTCGATAGTTAATTTTTGTATGATATTATATGGACGGATTAGCTTAACAACTGTTTTGATGTTAATGTTTATAAATGAGAATTAATAATTTACATTATTTGACGAATTTATACTATCGCAAAATTTTACTTTAAAAATATGCTGCTATTACACGTGTAATATTATATTATCTGACCAACAGGACAAGTGATTGATACAAATTTAGGTATGTTTAACGGATACAATATAATATAGGTAGTAGATGTAAGTAGGTAATTTCTGTCTTTAATATATATTTTAATAATACATTGATATATTATTATAAACTTCTATTGAATATAATTCACACAATTCATTCACTGAATGATGTTTTAATCATATTGTCAACTCGAATCACTGAATTATATTATACCGTCCACATCAATAGTGTATTATAATATTTTGTTTTTAAAACCATACACGAAAATAGAGATAAAATGCTGTATGTGAAAAAATCAAGGTTAGTGGTAATAAAGGATATTTATGTAAGAAAACGTCAAATTGTATCATTTCGACGTGGGTTTTGTGATTTGATAATCAACATGACGTTATTTTGTTCGGTGAAGCATGAAATGTAGCAGGTACACCAAATACAAACATTTTCATCTGTGATAAGATACCAAGAATACTAGATACGGACAATATTCCACTTGAAAAATTTCACCCCTAACAGATCTTTTTATGTTAGACATATTTTTCTTACTTCTAAGTTAGATTCACATACATTTGTTGGTCTTGCGATACATTTCGATTAGACCTACCGTCACGACACTTCTTGATTTCAACAGTTCTAAAAATCAGTGTAAAACAGCCACTATCACATGATTTTTCCTTATTTTTTAAACCCAAAACTATTTATTTTATTTATTATTTTACATCAAGATATTATATTAATATGAGTGGATCTCGACAAATAAATATATAGGTACTGCCACCACATGTATTCTAGCTCTTTTTAATAATTTTTATTTGATTTTTTGTAAATCAACAAATTCCATAAACCACATACAACTGTATTAAATTTAGTCAAATTCTTTATTCTTAATTTTAAGTGTTATAATGTTTTAATTGTACTATAAGTTTAAAAAAATGTATGTTTTATGTTTGAACAACACCACAAGTTGCATGCTACATTAATCAAAATGTTTATAATTAGAAAAACTAATATTGTCCTGAGCTGACGATGAGTGATGTTATTGTTAACCATGACATCTTTTTTAATTCAAAAGCGTATACACACAAATTATAGTTAATGTACATAACTTGAAAAAATAAATTGAAAAATAAAATAACGTACAACATAAACATATGCACGCAGGATCTTATATTTAAATTAGATAATAAATTAATTCAGTGAAATCTTAAATCAGAATTCACAAAGTCAGTTATTCGAGACCCAAATGTTGTAGGAAGGAGACAAAAAAATAATATTATTATTATGCAGATAATATACTCTCATATATTTGATTTAGGTACTGCTATCTTCAGCTATTTATATCCAAAATAATTCACCTATATACACACACAGGAACAAATCCAGGGAGGCTGAAAGGATTTAGTATTTAAAGTACCTTGGTAAATTTTACATATTATTCATGCATTTATATTTAAAGTATAAATAAAATTCACAAATCGTGTCCATAGTGATAACTATATCTATTTCTAAATTGTTATGTATGTACACTGTACACACACACACACACACACACACACACACACACACACACGCTTACTACCACAACAACAATTTAACTAATCTCGTCATACTTTTTCCAGGGTTGTCGTCGAGCAGCAGCAGCAGCAGTATTAACCGAACGCCACCAGTCAGGGGACCCGCGAACAATGCAGGCGGCCACAGAGGACATGAATCCGAGTACATGGGTCCGGTGTTCATAATCAGAGAGTTGGACAAGGACAAGGGCGAGTACGACGCATTCGTGACGACCGGCGGCATACAAGAGGTGAGGCCACCGCCAATGAGCGACAGGTCGCTGCCGCCGCAGCATAGCAAGCCATCCGCGGCCAGGGATGACGAGGATGCCGAGCACTTTGGCGTGCTGGTCACGCCCGAAACTGTCAAACGGTTGGACCGTGACGAAAAGCTGAAGATGTCGTCCATCAATGTGACCATGTCAGTGCTCCTTTCGGCTGCTTCATCCAGGATGCCCTGGCTGCTGGTCCTGCACCGCAAACAGTATCCGCACCTGTTCGAATACCAGCAACAGCAGCCTCAGCAGCAGTACCAGGTGCACTCGCCGCAGCAACAGCCTCACCAGCAACCACACCCACAACAGTACCACCAACAGCAGCCACAACAGTATCAGCAACAGGTGCCACCCTTCCTTCAACCGGCGCAGTCCGACTCGGTTCAGGTCGACAGTGGCGTTCCGGGGCTCCAGAACCCACAGATCCCACAGCGCAGACGTTACCAAACGGACAGGCAGCGCCGCGCTATTCTGTACTCGTCGCCCGACGACAGCCGAGCGCCGCTGACGATGGCCTTCGAGCACCAATTGCTGTCCACCATGTGCTACAACTTCGTCCGGGACTACTATTCTTCGCCGGCGCAGCAAATGTCTTCCGCCGAACTGTCACCCAGGCTTCCGATTGCCTTGGCCGACCCCGAATACGGCCGCGGCGAGGACCGACGAGAGCGAGAACCGGAACCGGAACAGTACGGCCGATATCGGCAAGACGTCTATTTGGACGCCGACGCTTATGCGGCCGCGGCCACTGCCCCTTCCGGCCGCGTGCCACATTCGCCGCCGCAGCCGCAACCTCAGCCACAGACATCGTCCACGGTCCGGCCGGAAGAACGGTCCGACGGCGTGGTCGTCGGCATGGAGATCCCCAAACGCGTTTCCTAGATTCGGACCGCCGACCGTGGTGGCGCGACGCGTCTAGAATAGTTTATGATTTTCTGTTTTTCCTCGTCGCCAGAAGCTTAGCTCACAGTATTCCGCAAGAACTCGCCTCGTCGATACGCTTCGACCGCTGTGCGTCCAAATATTATCAGCTGTTTTTCGCTTATTTTTTTATATTCCATTATTTGTCACGTTACGATCGATAGTTATTGTATCATTGCGTCGTCGATCGTTGTTATCGACAATAATCATTTTATATTATATTCTAATTTTTTGTATAACGCACGAATACAATGTAATATTATATAACTATTAAACGCCATAAATAAAACCTTCTTAAATATTATGTATATTGTACCGTAAACCGTTTTGAATTTTTTACCCTACCTCATGACATTAACTGTTGTAAATTGCAGTAAAAAATTGCAATTATGTGTTCTGGTTACTTAATATAACGCTTGTCGATTATCACCATTGGTAATAATTTCTATCAGTTCATGATATTATAGAATATAGAATATTGTAAATGGCAAATAAATAGGAAACTTGTCAATGGTTTGATTCATAAGGGCATGATGTATAGATCACTATGTTGGCCGTACCAATAACTCCACACGTAGATATACATAGTGGTAGGAAAATAGATATATCATCGGAAAGGTATTGTTGAGGAGAGTTTCACAAATAAAACTGTTTACATATATGAAAGTGCGGCAGATAAAAAACAAAAATACAAATACAGAAATGGTTGAGAAAAATACAATTTAAAAAATTGACATCAAAATCAAGGTTGATGTCGAAGTAATACGAAATGTAAAAAGCAGTAACATAACCAATTTATGTAGTATACGATAAAATAAAACAGTATTGGATTATTAGTTGCATTCAATTCTACGTCAAAAAGAATTGTCTGTTTGTAGCTTACATATTTCAACTCAAAAACTGCAATGCGAAATATACCTATTTTTTCCAATACTTTAGAACGTTTCGATCTTACGATTAAAACAGTATACTAGCAAAATATCGACCAATAGACGATATCATTCAATATTATATTATCATTAACAAATAAAGTGAACGGTTTATACACAAACATATAATTCGAACACTCTGAATGATAAATATGACAATTATTATAAAATATTTGTTATAAAGTACTTATATATTTATATATCTTTAGTTTAACACAAACAGCTGTTGCAGACACAATGAAACTTTAAAATAGGTACCATGGTATATACAGTTTTATAGAAAACCCATTTAATTATTACTATAGCATAATACATATTTTTATTATATTATTATAATCAAATTAAATATCATATATTATTTCAAATGTAAATTCAAATATAATATCTAGTATCTTTGAATATGTTTAATATTTTATTCAAGTGTTACATTCTATTATCAGGCTAAGTTTTTAGAAGATATCTGAGACGCTTGAAGAGCGTATAGTATTATTAAGCAAAGTTTTTTTAAATTTATTTTAGGAATGAATGATTGACTATATTTTAATGATAAATCTGAAAAATTATGTCCAGTTGTTGTAAAACCAAGCTGTTATTACTTTAATTCTTTTACTTGTAATGCAAACATGAAATATCTGTATTTCTTAATCTCGGATAAATTATAATACTTCATAGTTTAAAGCATAAAAATCAAATATATAAATCATACTTTGGGTAATATTGAATTATGTTTTCTAAAAGTTAAATGAAAAGTTTTAAGAAGAACTAAGGTTGGTCTAATATACATAGTCTTGATAGGTCATTAATATTTTAACATACAACCAATAATAATGAAACATTGCAGTTAATATAAGTAAATGTTCGTTTTGTTAAGTAAATATTTTAGATAATTTATTTGTTGGTTGAATATTTATTATAGTTATTACTTAGTATGATCGAAAAGATGTTCTACCTTTGAGAAATTCAACAATTATTGTATTCTTGTTTCAAAGCAAAACTATGGCTTATACGAAAATTAATCATTTAAAAATTACTATCCTGGCATCAAAATCTTACGATATTCAAATAACTTCTTCAAGTATCGATTTCGAAGTTCAAGACTATCAGTAAAAGCAAATATTTGCTTAAATAATTATTTTCATAGACATTTAAAGTTAAAATTTGGACGAAATTCAACATTAAACGAAGCGTATCGTTCATAGTTATTTATTTTTGTTGTAATTTAAAAATATTATTTGTGAGAATTTTAAACTTTTACGTATAATATTATATTTTGTATGTACAATGAAATTTTTAAAACTTTTAAATTAATTTTATGCAATTTCCTACTTTTATACAATGAAAGTACATTCAAACTGTTTTACGGAAGTCCGGTATTGACTCAAAAGTTGATTAACAATAATATTATATACTTTTATAATAATTAAATTTAAATAATATAATAAATGCAATGTTTTCGTCAAAAATGCATTTATCTTATCCTGTTACTAATATTATAACAAATATTACTACAGTAGCAATATAAATATATCATAAAATATAAGTAGGTACTATGGAGGTAGATGCACTTGTCCAAAAAATTGTATATATTCCTTGCTATACAGATAAATAATCACCTCAGCTTGGTGTTTTGAAGAGGTCAAATTTAGAAATTCTAAATAGTTTTTGCAAAATTTGGGAAAAACTATCGCCAAATCAACTATTTTTTTTATTTTATTAAGTACTATTATCTTAAATAATATGAACTCAGCTGTTATTTTAAAATACAAATGGTGCTTTTGCCTAACCATAAAATGTGCCTTAATTATTTAGTCAACTTTAAAAATATATTCTAGAAACTTGAATCGTATAAAAATCTAACACTTAACAACAAATGTCTTTGAAGATATTTAAAATACAAAAAGCTTACTAAAAGTAATTGTTAAACCAATGTTTATGAAACTCAAAACATAGGGATAAATAGATCTATGTGATGGATATTTTGGTCGAAGGACCTTTTTTTTTAGGATTTCATTGAATTTTCAATTCATAGTTCAAAATTCAAATTTTGAATTGAGCTGGACTTAAGATATTTATGGTTAAAAAAATTTGATATTAATTTTTGAGACTTAACTACGCTTAAGGTTCAAAATTGCAATTAATTTTAATACAAAACACGGTAGCTTAAAAAATAATATAATTTCCTAGTTCCTTCAGATATCTTATATCATATTCTGTTCAGTTTTGTTAACATAACAAAAAGTTCTACAAAAATTTAAATATTTTTAAGGTAAGCAACAGTTTAATTTGTTGTAGTGAATTAATTTTGCTACCATATTATATTTAAGGCACTACAAATATTTTACCAGATCACTTATGGAACTTATTTAAAATGTTTATGTATTGAATAATATTAGTTGTAAACAAATTCACCGTGGAATGAAATACACGTTAGTTATTGCTACAACTTATTATGTATGAAACATAATATGTATTATAAATTACAATACAGATCATAATGATACCAATACCTATTGTTAATTTATGTTTGACATCAGACTGCATTTCAATTTCTAAAGTTTACTGTTTGTATTTTAATTAAACAAAAATTAAAGTCTTAATTCATCTATTTTTTTGATTTGCATCATGATTTGCATTGGTCAATGACATTTTGTAACGTTCATTGATAATATTGTATTGTTAATATTCACATTAAATTGAAGACAGTGGTAGTCTTAGTGTAACGGCTGGGTGGCCAGTACCCGTTTTAACAAAATTTCTTAAGTCCCTATTGAAAAATGAAATAAGGTATCTACTGCTAATATTATTAATTATTTGTGGAGGCGATAAGCATAAATATTTTAATAATAACATATGGTACGGATTAGAATTCACAGTTATAACTTATAAGTTATAACCTACCTAATTATAAGTGTGTACTGTTCCCCGTACGAAAATGTTCTCCTTGACCCAACTCTGATTTATAGGATGGATATATTGCACATAGCTGTGTATTATTATTTATTGAAATGAACATTAACCAGTTAAAAATTTCGTATTCATTTTACCTGAAAAATAGAAAAATGTACTTCATCTAAAAATAATAATTTGCTGTTTGGTAATAAATCTGGAAAATCATAATCTATTGTAGTAATAGTAAGTGTATTAGTAATTAGTAAGTAGTAATTTGTATTATTTCACAAAATATAATGCAAAGTTTTTAAATTAAATATAAGTATAGAATAGTTTGTCCCCAAGAGCAAAGCTTGAGTAGGAAACAAGAGTTCTAAATTAAATTAACTCAGTACTCACATATATATAAGAATTAAAAGATAAAACAAAAAGTAATAAACTAATATAAAAAGATTAAGTCAATATAACATAAATAATTAATAATAAATATTATTAAAATCTACATTGAAGTATGCAATAATTAATAGTTTTAATTATTATTAATGTATAATATTATTATATAAAATACTAAACTTAAAATGATTATATTAAAAAATCATATTTTATGTATAAAATAATTTTTAAATAAACTAAAATTAGGGAAACACTTAATATCAATCCTAAATTGTAGCATAAGGTAATTTAAATATATATTTAAAGGGTTTCTCTTGCCTGCAACTTCGGTAATGCACATATTAGTTATAAATATATTTTTATTATTTTTGTGTGAATTGTTATGATTAAACATCACTTCATTTAAAATCACTATAATATACATGTAATAAGATATTTTTAACATGTAATTGTTTCAAGTTTAAAAGGTTATATTTATTATAAAGAGTTTTTGTGATAGTACAATATTGTTCATTTCAGTAATTCTTAATAATGTATTTAAAGTGGTATTTAATAGATGGTATTACTATAATTATTTTACTTGTAATGAAATATAAAATATCTGCTTTTCTGAATCTTGGGAAAATTATAATACTTATAATTTTAAACTAAATAGGTATTATAGCTTAAAGTATAAAAATCAAATGTATATACTATGCCTTGAGAAATGCTGAAATATTTTTTCTAAAAGTGCAACAAAATGTTTTAACTGAGATGGTCTAAGATAATATATTATAATATCATTGGCCTAAGATACAGAATATTATTAATATTTAAACAACGCGAATACATATTTTAGATTCAATACATGTTGGTCATTTAATTTGTCGGATTAACATTTATTGAAGTTACTAATTATTTTCTTCTTGTTATAAATCAAAAGGATAGCTTGTACAAAAATAGGTCAGTTAAAAATTATTACAACTATGGCATTAAGATATTTTATTTTCATAATTACTTCA